AAAAGCAGCAGGCCTTGGTGTGCTGGTGGCTGGACCCCGACAATTTCAGGCCTAAACAATGTCACCGAACACTAACATCCATCAGGGCCTCTCTGTGACAGAGATGGATCAAGACCAAGGCAAGGGCGCCCTGCGGTCGCATCAGAGTGCAAACAGAGCACACACGCTGTCCAGGCTCAGGAACGGCCACGCTGGGTCTTGTAAGTCCTTGCTGTCCCCTCGTGGGTCCCCCAGCACTGGGTCTTGTAAGTCCTTGCCGACACCCTCCTGAGGACACGGCCCTTGGCTCCCTGTGCTGTGCAGACCCGCTGGCTTCATCCCACCGCAGGTGGCTTCCTGGGGGCCTGGGGATGGAAGGCAACTGACGCCTCATCCACCATGGAAAGCACTGTGGGTTTTACTTTGAATGGTATGGGAAGCCACCAGATGGTTTTAAGCAAGAAGAAGTAGGTAGTGATTTTTGAAAGAAACATTCTGGGAGACGAGTCAGGACGCTCTGTCTGGGAGTGCAAGTAACGGCGTCTGGAGCAGTGTTCTCTGGGGCTACTTGGTGGGGGCGGGGTGCTCTCTGCGCTGCAGGGCCGGGAGGGAGGGCGGGCCAGGACATGCAGGTGGCCTTTCTGTCCCAGAGGAGACTCCAAGGGGCTTCTGAGATAAGCCACCGTCCGCGTGCAGTGGGACAGGGCTCTTTGCACCATTCCACACAGCCAGGAAACAGAGCATCCCACTGGAGGAGCACCGAGGTGCCTGGCCCTACTGCCACCTTAATGCCCTCTGGGCAGAGAGACCATCACACTCAAGACACCCTTTAAGACAGACTTTGTCGGGCGCCTGGGTGGCTCAGTTGGTTAAGCGACTGCCTTCGGCTCAGGTCATGATCCTGGAGTCCCGGGATCGAGTCCCACATCAGGCTCCCTGCTCAGCAAGGAGCCTGCTTCTCCCTCTGATCCAACCCCCTCTCATGTACTCTCTCTCATTCTCGCTCTCTCAAATAAATAAATAAATCTTAAAAAAAAAAAAAAAAAAGACAGACTTTGTCAACAAAACAAAACCAACCCAAACCTGCAGGCACCAAAGGTCCAGGACACCTGTGGTCCATACTCCATTCTGCATAGGTGTCCAATGTGGCGGCAGCCTGACATGTGTCCAGATGAATGGCAAGGTCATTCCCATGACCCTGCAGAACAGGATCAGGGGGACTGCTCACGCTCAGCCAGGAGGGTCGAGTGGCCAGACTTGTGGATCACTGACCACCCCAATCTGGGCTCAGAAGGGGAACCCCTCCCCTGCTCTATGCATATAAACGTTGCTTCCAACTTGTGCCCAGGAGGGTGGGCTAGCTAGGGGCTTCTTCCGGTGGCCAGACCACAACATGTCCCCTTGTCCTGTTAGGGTGAAACCATGTGGTGTGTGTATATGGCTGGGGGGGGGGGTTGTTCTCCTTTGGTTATTGGTCCTATAGTGTAGTCCCTAAGGAGGGCAGAGGTAGAGTGTTGGGACTTGGCTCCTGGCTGCCTCCCTGTCTGATCTGGCCACTTTCCCTGTTTCTCCCAGGACGCTCCCGTGCCTGTAGGGTGGAGCCTCCCTCACCAGGACCTGTAGGTTCCTCAAGCCTCATCCTGACCCTGTCCCCCACCCCTGCATCCCTGGCCCACAGGAGAAGGTCAAAAGAACTTGGGGCCATAGGAAGGAGAGGCCACACCGGCACCAACCACATCCGGGCACATTTGTCCTGAGTCCGGGCGCTGCTGTGTGTGCGAGCGCTGGGGAGGTGAAAACTCCCATCCCATCAGGAGCCTCCGTTCCTATTCACACACAACGGTCCGTGGGGTGCTGGAGCACGTCCATAGATCTTACCGGAAAACCATGTACGTGTAAGAGCAATGCACGGAGGAAAAACAAGCCTGGAAGAAAACATTCCCAAGTGTTCACACTGGTTCTGTCTTGCGGTGGGATCAAGGGTTTTTATACTTTCGTATGTTTTCCAATTTTTTTTATACCGAACACGTGTTAGTTATGTAATTTAAATTTTATTTATTTATTTTTAAACCAAATTCTCCAGCCAACTGTGCTCTTCCCCAGTGCAGTAACTTTCCTTTGAGTCAGATTTCTGGGTGAACTCAAGGAACAACGACTCCCTCTCAGGCTGCACATTCCCGTTTTCCTTCCACCCTCCTTAGACCCTCAGGGCAGGGGGCAGGCCCCGCGGAGGTCCGCCGCGGGGGCTGGGACAGCCGTCCGTCCTCAGGCGTCCTCCCTCCGGGGTGGGCTCTGCGGGGCGCGCGCTGCCCTCTGGCCCTGGCTGTCCAGCGTCCAGTCCCTCCTTCCTCTCCGTCCAGCCGCTGCAGCCCTGAGCTCGCGGCGGGAGGGGGCGGAGGGGACCCTGCAGGGGCCTCCGGCCGGGGCGGGGCGGGGGCGCCCGGCGCAGAGGGCCAGGAGAGGCGGGGTACTCCCCCTGCCGCCCCCCGACCCCGGTCCGACCCCGGTCCGACCCCGGGCAGGGCGGCCGCGGCTGCTCGGCTTCCACTGCCGGGACGGGGCGGAGATGGGGGGGCGGGGGCGGGGGAAGTTCTCGGAAAAAGTTCTCGGAGTGGACGGCTTTCTGCGGCCCCCCGCCTCCACCCGTCCCCGGACCTCCCAGCGAGGGCGCTGCTGGTCACCGGGCGCGGCGCGGGGGCCCCGGGGGGCACCGAGGCCTGGAGGCCGGGCTCCGGGGGTCAGGACCCCGGCCGCGACCGAGACTCAGGGGGTTGCCACGGCGACGCGCTCCTGCGCGCGGTGATTGGCGAAGCGCGGAGGGGCGGGGCCCGGGAGACGCTCTCGCGGGCGCTCGGCCTTCCGGCGGGCAGGAGCGGGCGGAAGCCGGGGGGGCGGGGCTTCCGGCCCGGGAGCGGTCTTGGCTGCGGGCCCCCCCCCACCCCCGCCTCCGGGCAGGTAGCGGATGGTGTCCCTGTGCCTTCGGTGTCCGGGGACCTGAGCGCTTCTCCCGCCCGCCGTGCTGTCCCCCTGCCCCGGGCCGCCCTCTCACCTAGCCTCCCGCCCTGGCCCCCGAGCGGGGTCTCCCTCCTGAAGCCTCAGTCGGCTCTCCACACCGAAGCCAGTGACCTTGTGGTGTGCCCTCCCTGCGATTCCCGGGTCCCCTCGGAGGGAATGGCGAGGCCTTCCCCGGCACCACTCTCTCCCCGCCCCCTGCACTCCAGTCACGCCGGCCTGCTGCTTCTGCCCACCTCCCTCCTCCCTGCCCCAGGGCCTTTGCACTTGCCGGTCCCCCGGCCCAGAACGCTCCGGCAGATACCTGCCCGGCGCTCACCTCCTTGGGGGCATTGTTCAGCATCACCTCCCGAGCGAGGGGTCCACCTGTTTAACATTACACCTCACCTTCCTCATGTCCCCATGCCCCCTGCCCTGTGTTTTCTGCACAGGGCTCATCACCGTCCAACATGGTATTTGCTGTCTGAAAGCTCCAGGAAGGTGGAGCGTGTGTCTCGTTCAGGCCACAGCAGGTGCACAGTAAATACTGTATACTGAGCAGGTAAATGAAGGCTCTTTCCTCCTCTTCCTCTTCCTCCCCACCCTGGGGTGATTCTCTGGCAGGGGAGCCAGCAGGAACGAGTGCCTGCCCACGTATCAAGTGCCTTACTTTCAATATCTCACTCCGAAAAAGCTCATTCGTGTGGGAGGACCAAGGCGCTCAGGGAATCCTACCCTTCACACACTGTCACCCTCTGCTCAGGATCCTCTGGGCTCCAGATGTGCTGATTTGGAAGAAGGCCTGGGGCCGCCCTCAAGGCTCTCGGACTGACGGGGAAGTGATGGCTGCCGTGCCGGGTGCGTGCGAGGCGGGTGCGAGGCGCAGTGGGAGGAGAGCAGGGTCGGCTTCCAGAATGGGGTCCTCGGAAGTCCTCCCAGGGGTCCCCAGAGGCCACGTCTGCTGTGAAACGTGCACCACGAACAACCATCGTCGATCGCGTACTCTGTGCTCCGTGTGGTTCTAGCTGTCAGTCCGCACGCGTGTAGGGTTACCCTCTTAGGAACGAGGGAACGGGCGCAGAACGGGCAGCCCCTTGCCTGAGTTCACAACACTAGCACGCGGAGGATCCAGGTCCTCAGTCCAGCTGTTTGTGGCCGAGGAGCCCGTGCTCTTCCCAGGGCGCGCTGGGGGCCGCGCTGCCGCTTCTCAGGCAGGAAGCCAGACAAGCATCCAGGGCTGACTGGAATGGCTCGCAAATGGCTTCCCTCTGGGCGTGGGCACTGGGAGAGGAGCTCTTTGCAGGCCCTGTGGCTTGGACAAGCCAGGGCAGCCATCTGCTGCCAGCCTCGTGGGGAGCAGGGCACAGGCCACCCCAGCAGCATCTGGCTTTGTGGCTCAAAGGCATTTCCTTCAGGAGATGGAGCTGCCTGGCTCTTCCCCTCCCCGCCCCCACCGGACTCCCTCTCAGCTCCAAAGTCAAGGGTTTCAGGGCTGTGTCAGCAAGGGGCCGTGCCACACTGTCCTTCTGGCATGGGGCATGGTGGCCTGGAACGGACATCTGGTGTGCCTCAACCCCCACAGCCAGGGCATCTGTGGCCCCATGGAACTCAGTGACAAGGAGAGCCGGAACCAGGGAAAGGCCACGCTTCCCTGTGCGCCTGCCAAGTGGCAGAACATCCCCCGCAAGGCCTGCCTGGCACTGCCCTGGCCACTGAGGCTTCCTGAGGGCGACGCCCCGAGGGCCCTGCTGTGCCAGGGCTCCCCCTGCCAGGTGGGAGGGGTATCGGTCATCACTGGTGGGGCCAGGCCAGTGGGATCTTGAGCTTGGGGATGGCAGGGGGCGGAGGGCAGCCCCTGCCCCTTGCCCACAATGACCTCCTGGCTGGCAGGGGCCACCAGCTTGCTCTTTGGAAGTTGGATCTACAGACTGTGGCAGAGGGAGAAGCTGGAGAGACTGCTTCATTTTGCAGGTGGGAAACCTGAGGCTGTCTGAGGGGCATGGAGTTGCTCTGTGGGCTTTCTCTGGTCCTCAGCACAGGGCTGCCGTGGGCATCATCTGCTCCATCTCCCGGAGGAGGGACTGGGGATTGGGGAAGGGAAGTGCCACGTTCAAGTTCTCCTGCTTCAGCCGGTTCTCTGGCTCCCACAGGCTCAGATCCGAGCTGGAGACGGAGCAGCACCCACGCTCACTCATTTCTCCGAGGGTGGAAAACAAACCCGAAACAAGGCTGAGGATAGGGGATGCCCAGGATCAGAGATGAGCCTCCTGCCAGAAGCAAGAAGTTTTGAGGCCCCAGCCGGGCCGGGGAAGTTCGGGATGAAGGCAGCAAGAACAGCGGCAGCCACTCCTCCCTCCCCAGGCTGGTCGCTGGGAGTGGCACATCTTCACCCACGGCCTCTTCCTTGGGGTTCAGACGAAGTCATCAGGGTGACCCCCACAGCCTCTGCCCTGCCAGAGCTTCCTCCCTCCTTCCATGTGGACCCTGAAACCTGTGCAAGAGGCTGGGCCCGAACACCACTCCAGACGCAGAGGGGAACCAACCCCCCTGCACCGGCCTCGTCCATAGTCACAGGCCTTCGAGGGCTGGGCAGGGTCTGGCTGGGGGCAGGCAGAGCAGCTTGGACTGGGTAACTGTGGCACAGGACAGACAGCCAAGGGGCAGAAGAGAGGTGCGGTCCCCTCCCACTGGGGCTCGAGGAGGCATCATGAAGGGTGTGGTCCCCAGTGTGGGAGAAGGCATGGGAGGGTTGCCGAGGGCTGGATCATCCTGAGCCAGCTGCCCTCAAGGGAGGGTCTCTCTGGAAGCCAGGGTGCACATCGAGGGTGACGGGAAAGGTTGCCTTTGGGGGCCAGATCTGGTGGGCCCTGGGAGCCTGGCTGAGCCGTGGGAACTTGTGAGCCCTGGGGAAGTGCTCGTGGGCTTGGAGCCTAAGGCTGCCGGGAGCACAGCCCAGCTTGGGGAAGCAGCTTTTCAGCAAGTGCCTCGGAGCTTTCTTGGAAGCAGGCTGAGTATAAATTATAAATAAACAAACGAGAAGTCTGCTGGAGGGCGTGGGCCGGCGGGAAGAGGGGAGAGACCGGAGGCAGGGACCTCACTAGGAGCTGATACCCCCGAACTTGAACCCACTGCGCCTCTCCTGCTGTGCCGCCCGCCCGGCCTTGGAGGCTCGGGGTCTCCTGCGGAGGGTGCCGCCTGGGGTCTCAGGCTCTGGGAGCTGACTTTTGCCAGGGTGCAGGGCAGGCCAGGTGCAGACCCCTACACGGGAGTGGGGAGGCCCATCAGGCTCCTGCAACCCAAAGAGGTGCAGGCCCGAGTCTCCCTCGGACAAAAACAGGCCCCGTGGACACTCATCCGTGTGGGAGGTGTCTTACCAAATGTTTGAAAGGGAAAAAAATCCCATTTTCTTAGCTTTTTTTTTTTTCCCTTTCTATTTTTTGATTATTTTTCTAGATGACTTCATTTCTAAGAAGGGTGTAGGGGAGAGAAGGAGGACAGAGGGAGGGAGGACACGGGCCCCCAGGAGAGCCAAGAGGGACGGTAGCAGGGGTGGAGGGAGCAGAGCAGGGTGCCTGGGGCCCAGGGAGGAGCCGAGGCCTCCTTACCGGGGAAAGTGGGCATCCTGTCCTGACCGGGGTGCTTTCTCCTGCTGACCCCTCACGGGCCTCCTGGTCTGCTCTGTTCCCACAAGGCCCCAGAGGCCAGCTCATCCAGCAGGGATTGGCGGGGCCTCTAGGAGCTCCTTGCTGGCTCATGGCCTCTGCCCTCGGTCAGAGCGGAGAGGGGTCCCGGTGAGGCCTCCTCACCCCACACACCGCTTGGGACCAACAGAGCCCACTGGCTGGCCTCCCCAGAGAGGAGGAGTTATTGCAGGACATCAGAGGCTCTGAGAATCTTCTGGAGAGCTGTGGAGTTGCTCAGTGCCACACACTCCGGAGCAACCCTCCAACCCACGGCCCACACGTGACACAGCACGGCTGCCCCCCAGGCCACCATTCGGGGAAGTGACTGGGGCCCTTGCCTTGGGCCGCCCCCTTCTGCGTCTGTCTGCTCGGGTGAGTGTGGCGGCAGGAGTCCCGGCCACCGGCCTACGCTGGAGCTGCACGGGAGTCAGGGGTACAGGCGCTGGCTTCTGCCTTCAAAGACGGGACTGTGTGAGGCAGAGAAGCCCCTCAAGGCAGGGGCTGCCCCACAACCCCGAGCTTCCCAGCGGCTGCTGAGCCCCAAGGTTGGACCCGTTCCAGGCCTCTCTCCCAGCCTCTGGAGGTTGCCGGCGGCCATGGGCTTATTGGCCGATGGACACACCACCCAGCCTCTGCCTCCAACTTCTCGAGGCTGTTTCTGAGCCTCCACCTCAGCCTCCCTCTGCCTGTCTCTTCTGACACCTGACATTGGGTTTGGGGCCCACCCTCATCCAGGATGAGCTCATCTGAAGATCCTTAACTTGGGGACAACTGCAAGGAGTCTTACACTAAGTGAGTCACATTTTGAGGCTCCAGGTGGGCACATCTTTTGGGGACCACCATTTAATCCCCCCCAAGAGGCGTGAGACATGGGCACAGAGCAGGCAGGGGCTGGGAGGGAGGGGAGAATGAGGGAAGGCAGGGGTGGCGGGTGGGAAGGAGCATTTGGGCAGGAGAAACCAGCTGTCCCCAGCCCGGCGTCCAGGGGTGTGGGACCCGCTGACCTCCACTTAGTTATTTAAACCCCAAGGCAGCTTGTGTCTGTCCAGATGGGTTTTTCCATCAAGGCCAGGGGTGTCCCAGCTCCAGGCAGCATGAGCACCCCATTCCCTTGAGGGCTCCTGGGCCCCCCCTACACTTAGGAACCCTGGGGTCAGGGTCCAGGAGGTGGGAGAAGATGCCTCGCCCTTCCTGCCCAGGCCAGGCTCTCTCAGGGGTCCCCCAGTGACCTCACCAGACTCCCCATCGCCTGGAGCTCTCCCTGCGCCCCCCCCCCGGTCTCCTCCCCAGATCCTCCCTGTTGGAGTTGGAGCCATTTCTTCTGATGGGGCGCATTCCCATCCATGGCAGCCAATGCTCTCAGAGGTGGAGAACCCTCAAGATGCACGGTCCGAACCGGAGCATAAAAGCGTCTGCATACACTTTCATCTATGGTCTTGTCAGATCCTCAGTACCACCTGCCAAGGAGATACTAGCCCCATCTTACAAAGGAGGGGACAGCCCCGAGAGGCATGATGACTTGCCTAGGTTCCCACTTGAACTTTGAGACTTGAAGCCCAAATGCCCCACTCCAGCCTGTAACACCTTCCCACCCGCTCCACCACACCAGGCTCAATCCACATCAGGGCTTGAATCCTCCTCGGAACAGGGAACTCACTACTTAACAAAAGGGCAAATTCCACCGACAATCCCAAATGTCAGGGCAGCGTTCTTCGTTGAGGGAAAGCCCGTTCTTGTCTGAGTAATGTGATGCCGGACAAATTCTCCATTTCTTCCCTTTCTTGAAAAGTGGGGCTCTGCCCCCACCCCACCCATCACCCTCCCTAGGAGCGTTTCTGGCCGCTTGAGGCCCAGTCTACAACCACAGGGACACAAGGTCGTTGGGTTATGAGATGGCTGCAGAGGGGGACTCTGGACAGTTGTCCCCCAGCACCATGCCCGGGTCAGGTGGAACTAAGGTCAGGAGGTGACAGGATCTCTCTGCCCAGGGCCAGAGCCCAGGGATGAGGCCCGGGCATTTGGTCACCTTGGCTGCCAAGCTAGGGCCACCACGGGCAGTCACCCTGCCACAGCACAGCAGCAAGGCCACACTTTGGGGAAAAAAAAAAGAAAAAAAAAGGCAACCACCAAGAAGCGGAGAGGCTGAGTAACAGCTGAGCTGAGTCACGCAGGGCTGGGTGGGCGGGCGGAGGCGGCTGCAGGGGTGGGTGGGGGCCGCCCGGGGATGGGAGGGAGGCTGGAGGGGCACGGGGCCCACCTGACACCCTCTCCTGGGCTGCTGGAGCTGTGGAGGGGTGCGGCGCACCGGACAGCCCTCTAGTGGGGCTGTGGGGCCTGGACCCCCAGGGGTGGAGCCAAGCCTCAGCCTCCGTCCGTCCTCCGCGGCCACCTCGTCGTGCTCTGAGCTCAGCCTCCCTCTCCGCCCAGTGGGGTGATGGCTGCCTCCCCTGCTGCGTCCAGGAGATGAGCGGCCCGGGGCTGAGCACATGACAGGCACAGAGCCAGGGCCCCGGCGTCTGTTCACCGTCCTTAGGAACAAGGAGCCTTTGAGCTTCCCAGAGCAGGACTGTGGCGCTTGCCCAGTGGGCCTCCCCCGACCCCAGGCCCTCTCAGTGCCACCCGAGTGCACTCCCAAGGTCGTCCACGGCCTTGGGCTATGTCCTTGCCAACTTTCCCACAGGGTGCCACAGGGTGCCTCAGGGTGCCGCTGAGGGTCGAGGTCCAGTGGGCCTGGGGCCGCCAGGCCAGGGCGGTTCTCCGACTGTAGCCAGCATCCTGCCCAGCAGCCTGGCCGCCGTGACCTGGCAGGAGCCTCATTGCACGACTCCTGCTGCAGCCAGGTGGGGCTGCCAAAGCCGGCATCGGGCTCTGCTCTGCACAATGCCCAGCACACAGTGCTACCCCAACCTCTCCGGGAGCCCCGGCCTCGGAGCACACAGCAGAGGTGTCGCCCATGTGCCCTGCGTGGGGCTGGCAGATGGCGCTGGCGTCCCCACCGCCCTCACGCCCCAGCAGGAAGGCCCTGCAGACGGCAGGCATCTGCCTGCGGAGGGCACCCCTATCCTGCTGGAGCTCAGGGTTTAGGAGCTGGAAGGCACCCCGAAGATGATCACCGAGGCCCTGGGAGGGGACAGACTTGCCTGGGGCCACCCAGCCAGTGGTGACAGGTGTCCCTGCCCTGCCCAGTGCCTCCAGCGCCCTGCCACGCGCCTCACCCCATGCCAAGAGCCCCTGTGATCCCAGCCCCCTCTCCCTCTCAAGCACTCCCCGCTCTCCCCACCGGCCTGCCTCTCCCGCCCCCACGCTCTGGCGGGAAGGGGTTCCTATGGCACCCCTTCCCCCGCACACACTTAGCTCACTGGCAGCCCATCTGCCCCGAGACAGTCAGCAGCAGATGCCTCCATGCACAGCGGTGCCTGAAGCGAGCAGCCCAGCACCTCCCGGACGTGAGCACTGCCAACCAGGCCCAGGGGCTCACACCACACTTGGCAGAGGCAGGGGACCGTCCCACCCAGAGGGCCCAGAGGGCTGGGGAGCGGGGTGTGGGCTGGAATGGGAGCTGCCCTCGCAGCCCCCCACCCCCCTGCACCAGGGCTCCAGCCGCCTGGGAGGGAGTTGGCGGGTGAGCCGCTGTTAGCAGGCTGCACACTTGCAGCTCTCAGACTCCCTGGGGAAGGCCCCACGTGTGGGGTGCTGCTCCCAAGCCCCCAGCCACTCCCCTCCCCAAGAAGGAGGCTGGTGGGCCCCCTGGGCAGACCCCACATGAGGCCTGGGCCCTGGGGAGCAGGCTCTTTGCTCTCTGCTGGCCTCAGGCCCGGGCCTGCTGGGTCCCAGGGCCAAGTCCAGCCTCCCTCAGTTCCATCTCTAGGGACTTCCCTTACTACCAGTGGGGACAGGTGGCTGAGCAGGGTCAGGGGTCCCTGGGGCTGGGCCTCCTGGGAAGTGGTGGCCATAGTCCCTGGACCCATCAACCGTTTCCGGGATGCATGTGGCCAGTTGGCAAACAGCCTGGTTTCCATGGCAGCAGCCTCAGCCCTGGGTCTGGGAGGAGGGGCCGGCTGAGGACCCCCCGAGCTCAGCCTTTGGCTCCTGCCCTGCCCTCCCCAGCCCCAGGAGCAGAGCTTTGTAGCCCATGGGTGCCCAGCCAAGCCCTGGGGTGCCAGCCCCGCATGGAGGGGAACACTGGAGGGCTGCTGTGCCCCCACCCACTGATATGGGGCGGTGCACACCTTCCATCCCCAAGAGAGACTGAAGAAGAAATTGGCTAAGCCTGGAGCTCTGGGGACTTTGGTCTGACATTAGGTAGAGTTTCCTGGTTCTAGAAGGAATCAGAACATTTCCGTAATCTGCACACGGGACTGCAGGCTGCTAGTCGGTCTTGCTCATGGCCCCCAGCGCAGCGTCCGTGCGTGCTAGGGGTGAGGACAGAGAGCTGGCCTGGGGCAGAGGGATGGACGATTTGACCTCTGAGGACCCCATCAGCTAAGACCCCAGAGCCATGAAAATCCAAACTCACCCCCTGTATCCCCCACCGTTTACCCTGTTTTCCTTCCCTCCCCCAGCGCCCCCGCAGTG